CAATAGCGCAGCTGGGTGAGGCTCCTCTGACGTTTGCCCCGTGGTTGGGTCACGGCAGCCCAATGCGGTTGTTTGCGTTTCTGTCGACGTTCACGTGTTTGTACATTCGCTGTGAATGACGTCGTGCGTAACTTGTGTGTGTGTGTGTACGTGGGGAGCGGTGGTGTAACGGTTAGCGCGCTGCGCTACGAACCTGGCAAGCCGAGTTCGATTCCTGCTCGCGGCCAACATCAGTGACGATTATCCGAACCGGTCCTGGGCATTCCCTAGGTTGACTCAACCTGAAATGAGTACCTGGTGCGGTGTGTAGTAAACATCGCCACTCGGGAGACAAAGGCGATCGGGCGTGGTGCTGGCCACCCACCCCCTCGTGTGCCGTTTTGGCATTCATAGGTGCTCGCTAACAGCACTTGCCCGAACAGTCTGTTAAGGTTATACGGGAGATCTTTGTCTTTGTGTAGAATTAATTTCGCACCGTGCATAGCCAACAAGCTTAAACACAGAGAGCAGCTCTAAAGAAATTCGTTTTCAATCTCAAAATGTTTGTTGCACGATGAGATCATCATCAGCTATTGTATATCCATTGTTGGATGAAGGGTCTCCCCCCCCACACTATGCGATCACCAACCCCAGACTCCAGTGATGCTACCGTGCATTTCGCTCCTGCATATAAACGGATTTCATCGCTCCATCTCCACGGCGGAACTATTCGTCCCTTCGGCTGCCATTCCTTCACCAGTCTCTTCCCGTGCGGCCGTTCTCCCTCCGAGCGAGGGGCGATGCGTGTGGCATCTCGACTCACACACTGCAGGACCAGCACAGTGCGTGATGGTTTTCAGGACTGCACTCTGATATTAAAAAAAACAACACCGACCATTAAATGTTAACTGCCGCACACGATACGGAATTCTAAATCGCCGCTTGTATTTCATTGCAAATCGGACATATATCTCTTTTTTTACATCACGGCTGCAAAATGTGAGTTACAGTACATCCTTCTGAAGACAAGTGGTGGGAGGAGGGGGGGCATGGGTGGGTGGAGGAGGTCTTGCCTAATCGATCAAGACTTTAAGACTCATAAAGGAGCATAATTTATCCCTCGAACTCCGGTCATCCTCGCAACAGCAACGATTTTGGCTAAGCCATCGAACAAAGACGGTCACCGCATTGCATGCTTTCATATGCGCTACTGCGTCCGTCTGGAACGCTCTTCCTTCCGATATTAGGAAGCCACTGGAGCTATGCACTTTTAATTCTAGATTGAAATCTCTTTCCTTTTTGTGTTTAGTTTGTTGTCCTTCCCCCGCATGTTCGATTAGCACGGTTGGCTACGCACGGCGTTAAATTCCCCTCCCCCAAGCTCTGCAGTCCTCTATATATGAAGGCGTCATTAGCCAAATAATGGATGTCTATACATGTGTACACAAGATGACCCCGCACTATAGTGCTGTAAGAGCTCACGATGCTGGTTCACAAACTGATTGTTTTTATACATCATCGTTCGCAGACCTTTATCAATCCACTGCTGGATGAAGGATTCCTCTCCCCCAACCTGCGTGTAACTTGCCCACACTTCAGCAGGCTGGCGAGTGGGTGATGGAAGAGGAGGCGGCGAGGATTGGGGGGCAGGACAAGTTATCACTCGCTAAAGGAATCAAAGTCAGGGCATGGAACATAAAATATTTCGTCCAAAGTATATGTCATTGTCAACCTTGCCCAAGAATTGTACAGATTTGGTTGATTATATATTATTCGACAACCATCTAGGTAATGTAGTTGTATTACCAAATGTTCTACTGGTTTTGTACTTTTCGATTTAACACGGTTGGATATGTACGGTGCGAAAGAAGTTCCACATACATAGATACGCAGACAAAAGGATGTACACAATTAGCAGATTGGCTCACTCCAAAATTATCCGAAACGAATACAGAGACACTGACGACAACAAGGGATCAATTATTGTGTTGCTGTTCAGGTGTCCTTTGCAACAATTACTTTCCAACGATCCGCAACCTGGTTAAATAATACCGAGTTGAATGGAAGTTTATTGTTAAATCTAGCATTGAACACAGTCGCTTGTGAACCACCGGCCGGGGACTTGGCACACCGGCTACGGTTGATGTGGTAGCATAGCTCACTCCACGAGGAGGTTAAATCCTGCAAGGTGGCTTCTGGTCGACTCGGGATCAGCGAAATGGCCTCACGATAAAAAAAAAAATCCCTGCAAACTGCGAACCCGAGGGTAACCGATCCATCGTCATTTCAAAATGCTGAGTGCGCCCCTTTACGAATCAATCATCGCGCGACGCATCAACCGGGGGTTCATCCGTTCCCACGGCGAGTGCTGAGCGCCAGGGGGCATCTCCTCGTCGCCAGATGAAAGTTCTCCGGGCATCGTGAGTGAGCGAGCAATCTCCTCACCTCCGCCCGATCACACGGGGACTAGCATGGACCTCTCTCCTCTCTCCCTTTTCTTTCTCTCTTCAACCCAGACCCCAGCCCCCTCCAGTGGGGGGGGGGGGGGGAGTTAGCCCGACTGGAGGGCCCTGAGCAGACATTTCAATTCGTAAAATGCTATTGCGATGACAGAAGAGATATTGGCGAGAGATATAGATGTGGTGAGATAGATGGAGTGAGATGGGGAGACGGAAATGAGAGATTAATTTATAGACATGTCAATGACCGCGTGATGTTCATCAGGATATTAATTTAAGCTGATATTTGATGGACGCTTTTCTATTCACAAATCTGCGTGCCTTCATTTTGTTCGGAACCTAACCATTGTTCTTAGTTTGCATATGCCTAGCGCTGCCACTTCGCCCAACATCCAACACTCATTAATCGCCCGATAACATCTTAATGTATGGAGGATCGCAGAACTTGGATTGGGGGTTAATTTGGCACCGGCTCGCCACCCGGCAGAGTTCCCCGCTTGCCTGCGGCTCTTCGCGCCTCCGAGCCGGTTCCCTCCCTGTCCCAGAGTGAGTGAGCACTGTGCGGCGGTGGCACGTGACAAGTCGAGATGAGAATCCTCAGCCCGTCGCCGTTGACAAATTATCGAAGCCGCAAGAGCAAAGGAATCTTGTTGTTGGCCATCCGCGCTGAGGGCATGCATCATCTTGGCGCGGTGCCGCTCAGATCAGGTGGGAGGGGGGGGGGAGATGCAGTGTTGAGAAGAAAGGAACAGGTGGAACGCAAGAACATTTTTTTTCCCTGTAATTTTGCTAATGCCCTGGTGCCATCGTTTCGTCCTCGCTCCAGTCGCTAAATTAAATTAGTGAATAATTGTGGCGATAGGTTTTTTTTTTCCTGTGGATCTTTTTTTTTTTGCGAACGGAAAGCCGCTTCATCATATACTGCTGTATTAGGTTTGTCACAATAATGGAAAAAATATGTAATTGTATTTTCTTTCAAACGTTAGTAATATTCATGTTGCAGCTAATTTATGACGTTAGCATGCTAAGTGACAAGCTTTGCTCAATAATCTAAAGTGTTGCGCAACCGTTTTGATATTGGACATTTAAAACTGCAATTAATGGGTTTTCAGCCATGCTTTTATTGCGTTGACTCTGAAATATAAAAAGTAGATAGTTAACCATTTTTACTTTGCAGAAATGGTTTCCATGGCCACACATACAAAAAATAAACACGTGATTGGAAGGTAACATTCAATAATAAAAAAAACATCATTCAGTCAGCTCAAATTTGTTATCTCGTAGCAATATTTCATGCAGCAACTCTGCAGCCTCTTGGCTATTATCTTGGGGTCGCCACGGTGACGAGATGTTGACTCCCTCCCCTGGTACGCAGGAGGTTGTTGGTTCGATCCCGACCCTGACGCCTGTATATTTGGAGTTTGCGTGTCTCTTCTCCCCGTGGGTCGCGTGGATTTTTCTCCGGGCCCTCCGGTTTTCCCCCCTCCACATTTAGACGCGTTTGGAGTATTTGGCTGCTATAAATGTCCACGCTATAAGCCACTTCGTTGAGCTATCATTTATGGCCACGTCGCTTCTAAAGCATAGCTATATAGCTCAGAAGGCCTTAACTGATGAAATAAAAAAACATGTTTAGTAGAGTTTGATCTACGCACAATACTTGGCACCCAACATAACATACATCCTGCGATTCTCTCTAATCTCTTACTTGGACAACTGACATTGTAAACATGGCTTGCAAATCATCACGCGTCTTAAGTCATTTCAAGTTTCAACCAAAAACGGTCCCCTGATCGTGAGCGACCGAAGCACCGCGTTCGCGAACGGTGCCGATGAGCGCGAGCCGACACCGGCAAAGCGACTCGTGCCGCTCCGCGCTTTGGCACTTTGTTTTGTGTTCTCGCGCCGAGTCGCGGTGGGAGGAGGCACATGGGGAGCCAGCGTTGGAGGAGGAGGGGGGTGTGGGAGACGCGTCCCGGCACGCGCGCGCGCACGCCACAGCCACGCGCGGTGCTCCCCACGGCTGCACGGACGCTGGCACCTGCGCAGTGTGACGCGAATATCGCCGCCACCGCCTCCTCGCTCGCGGATAACTTTTCGTTCGCCGGCTCAACTAAGGCGGCGAGAGAAGACGGATAGAACAACCCGCGCCGGCAATCGGTCGGTTGGCCATTTGTAAAGGTGGGGGCGGCGGGGGGGACGATAACAATCCATCCAACCCAGACAAGCCGGTCAACTGGCTTTTTATCCTGCCAGCCAATCGACCAGATCGTCTGTTCTGCCAGCCGGGGTGATTGCACCGACCGCCAGCCTGCCAGCCTGCCTGCCTTTGAGCCAGCTAGCCGCCGACTAGCCAACCAACCAAAGACCCCATCGCTCAGTCAGTCAGACAGCCAGCAAAGCCAGTCAGTCGGCCAGCCGGCCATTCCATCGGCCAGTCAGCTACCCAAATGGCCAGCTAGCCAGCTAGCCAGCCAGCCTACCTACCTGCTTTCTTGCTCGCTACCCAAGTACTTACGAAGCAGAAAGAGAGCGGGACCGTGCGCGTGTGTGTGTGTAAAGGAACGTGCTGGGCACGGAAGCATGTGAAACAATTCACCATGCCCCTGGAAGGGCTGGAGATGATGGCCGTGTTCATGGTGGTGGTGCTCCTGCTGAGATCACTCGTGCAGTTTGGGATGAGGGAGAAAGATGAAGGTAAACGGATGCCTCTCTTTTGTGTTTCTCTTCTGCTCCCTCCGCGACTTCCAACGTTTCTCTCTCTCTCTCTCTCCCGACGGCAGATGCTACAAAGCACCGCTGACCGCTCCTCCGCCACCCCCCCCCCCCCCCCGGGGAGGTGACAACGAATTCGATGCGATCTTAAGGTGTAATAGAAGTGCAGCTTAATATTCTTCCTCGTATCGAGTATGAAAATGTAATGCGGTTTAACGTGTTCACTCTTTGAGCTGCCGACGGGAAAGAAATGCACATTTTGAGCATTAACTGCATGAGATAGCGATAATCTTTGAACCCAGCGTTGTAGTTTTAGTGGAATTCAATACAATACAGCCTTTCTGCCCGTTGCGTGTTGCTGCTTTACGACCGGCGTGAGTTTAACGTCTATTAGACACACACAAGTGAGTCTAATGGTGCAAGATGTGATGTCTTTACTTAACGAATAGCCAGCGCATGCACCTACACCATTCCCGTCTTTAATACAAACATTCACACTGGCGATGATGGGCGGGGGGGGGGTGTTGTCGTTGTTTACTAATGTAAACAATTATTTATATTGCGTACTGCCAAAATCTAGTTGATTATGGTGAAGATTGTGTGTGTGTAGAACTTCTGTCGCACCGTACGTAGCCAACCGTGCTAATTGGCTGGCTACGTGCGGGGCAGGGGGGAGGGGGTGGTAGGACAAACTCAACGAAATAAGAAGTTCTAAAGAAATTAGTTTTCAATCGAGATGATGTAAAAGTGCCTGGCTGGAGTGGCGTCCTACAGTTGGTAAGGAAGAGCGTTCCAGACGGCCGCGGAAGCGCACCTTAAAGCCCGCCGCGCGGTGACCGTCTGTGCAATAGGCTTGACACGGGACGTCTCATCTCGTGCGGCTCTTCAATTATTCATTGTTGTTGTTTATTTGGTAATGCAATCCTTGATGCCAGCACTGATCAGATTCACCCCTTCCAAGGACGGTAGTCGTCGTCTCCCGACGCGAGACGCGACCTTTGTGCGCCACTGGCTGCGAATGTGCGTGGACATCTCCCCCCCACCGCCCCACAACCACCGCCCCCCCCCCCCCCCCCCACCACTGGCTTTCACACCTCAGGCGTCAAATCTGATCCGGTTTTTGTTTTGCATCACGGTGTAAATATCTTGCGATGTGACGCTATCGATCACGGTAATATTGCGTGCCGACTTAATCGGCATGCAAACAACTTTGTGTGCGCGCGTGTGTGCGACGAACCCGGCGACCCGAGTTCGAATCCAGCTCACGGTCACCGACAGCAGTGACGATTATCTGAATCGGTCCTGGGCCTCCCCTAGGTCGGCTCGGCCCCAAATGAGTACCTGGTGTGTAAACATCGCCACTGGGGGGACAAAGGCGGCCGGGCGTGGTGGTTTTGACCATCCACCCCTTGGTGTGTCGTGCCGGCCTTCATTAGGTGCACGCTAACAGTATTTGCCCCAATAGTCTCTTATGTCCATTACGGGGGATCTTTGTCTTTGTGCTTGTATTGGGGGAGCGGTGGTGCAGTGGTTAGCGCACTGCGTGATGAACCGGGAGACCCAAGTTCGATTCCCGCTCACGGCCAATACCAGTGACGATTATATGAACCGGTCCTGAGCCTCCCCTAGGCCGAATCGGCCTCAAATGAGTACTTGCTGTGACATTCAAACATCGTCCCTAGGGAAGACAAAGGCGGCCAGGCGCAGTGTTGACCACCCACCCTCTCAAAAAGACACTCAGTAACAGCACTTGCCCCAACAGTCTGTTAACGCTATATGGGGGAATCTTCGTTTTATTTATTTATGTACATGCATTTTCTTGACAACAGAGTTTTTTCCGGAGCACGTTTCCATCACCGCAGGACACATACAAGGCGAGTGCAGGAAGGACAGCCCATTAAGATATTGTTTAGACCCGTGTGCTTACCTGTGCAGACTTGTATACTTTCCTCTGCGTGAAGATGGCATGGTGCAGACTCGGGAACTCACCTCGGACAGTAAAATACTTAAAAGGTATTTAAACGGAGGAATATTTTACTTTATTTGCAACCGTTCGTGTATTTTGTTTTGTTTATATAATTAAAATAAATGCTATTCCATCACCATTTACAGCAGTGTCAAGCCACCGCTGCAGGAAGACCTGTCCACGCTGGTGTCATTTGTGGGGGTTGTTTGACCATACTTCACCATGCTGGTCAGTGAGGGTTGAAGGAGGGCCAAGACAAGTTGGTAGATTATATGAAGATCTGTGAAAGAGAGCTTTACAGCTCGTCGGATTTCTCCAGTATGAATAATTGATTTTTCATTTGCCACTGACGCTAGCGGTTGTTGGGCATCAACCTCAGGTCACCATCCAGGTTCACAGTATAGTGCATGATACCCAGCAAATATTACAATGGTTTGGTGAGGCAAAGTGTGGATAACGCGTTCTTACTCATCTGGCCCGCATGGCATATTGTGTGTATGTCTTGTATGTTGAACTTCTTTCGCACCGTACGGAGCCAACCGTGCCGAATCAGGCGCAACACGAGAGGGTAAACAATGACTTTAACATAGCCATTTCTGTGACCAGTCACAAGCTAATCACTCAGCTATTTCAATGCTAAATTATCCTGTTTTATTTGTGCTAGGTGCCTCTGTGGATGTGTAAGCTTTGACTTTAACAGAGCTATTTCTGTGACCAGTCACAAGCTAATCACTCAGCTATTTCAATGCTAAATTCTCCTGTTTGATATGTAAACCCCTTTGTCAAGGTGCCTCACTTCTCTAAACCAGCTTAAAGGACGCTACGAATCTTAACAACGTTCATTGAAGCTCTGTCGTCCCGACAGGTCTGTTCCTTTCACCTGAAGAAGGCCACTTGTGTTGTGGCCGAAACGTCGTGAGAATTTTATTGTTATATTATTTTATTTCATTAATTTATTATTTTATTCTCATTCTACGTGACTTTACCGAAAGAACCAAAGAAGAGGGTAAACAATGATTTTTTGTAGGATTTTGTTCGAGCATTCAAAGCGGAAGACGTAATGATAATTTCAACTCGTGCAACACTTAAATATGAAAACAAAGCTTGATTGTAAACGATGAAACGTGTTTCTTATCTTGCAGACAACTATCTAGGTTTGTCTAGCAACCTGTCCCGCAAAAGGTGCTGTACTTCAATAAATGATCAAAATAAACAATGTAAAAACATTGTTCATCAAGCACACCATTTTAGTAATCCAGTGATCTCAATGCACGGAGATAGTTCAACGGTGTAGGAGCTCACGCGCATAACTAAAACATCATAACGGAGTGTCTCACTAACCTCCGACGTCCCCCACCCCGCCGCCCCCTCCTTATTAACAAAGTATAAAACTCGTGCCAGACAGGATTGGGATACAGAGCCTTTCTCACGGACCGAGCGAGATGTTTGTGTCAGATAGCCAAGTACTCATAATTATCATAATAAAGGTTTTTGGGCTAGATCGCGTAATTTATAAATGTGTCGTAACCCTCCACCACCCGACACGGCCAATCAGCAAAAAAAGTGTCACGTTGGCAAAAAAACAAATCGTTCACTACTTTAGCCCACCGGTGTGTTGAAGAGTGAATCCACAACAGTTACTGCCAGACAGCCCACGATATACAACAGCCTCGACACCAATCTCATCTTCCATAGCACCAGAGAGACACTTTGTCAATCACAGCTGGCAATCGCCCCGGGAACTCCTGTAAATAGTTTATCGCACACTTCAAAGCATTATTATAATACGACAGCACATGTTTAGTTACGATCCACTAGTAAGTCCACACATTCCCTAATTCGTTGCGTGCTCATGTCACGACCTGAAAAAGAAAAACCCGGCGTGAATTGAGGCCGCGATAGGAGCCTCGCGTATTTCATCCAAAGCGATGTGTTGCGAGTAAGCACCACTCACTCATTGAAACCGACGTAATAAAGACAAAACATACACAGTGAGGGAAAAAAAGTATTTGATCCCCTGCTGATTTTGTACGTTTGCCCACTGACAAAGAAATGATCAGTCTATAATTTTAATGGTAGGTTTATTTCAACAGTGAGAGACAGAATAACAACAACAAAATCCAGAAAAACGCATGTCAAAAATGTTATGAATTGATTTGCATTTTAATGAGGGAAATAAGTATTTGACCCCTCTGCAAAACATGACTTAGTACTTGGTGGCAAAACCCTTGTTGGCAATCACAGAGGTCAGACGTTTCTTGTAGTTGGCCTCCGGGTTTGCACACATCTCAGCCTTGTGTAGGTCTACAATCTTTTCCCTGACATCCTTGGAGAGCTCTTTGGTCTTGGCCATGGTGGAGAGTTTGGAATCTGATTGATTGATTGCTTCTGTGGACAGGTGTTTTTATACAGGTAACAAGCTGAGATTAGGAGCACTCCCTTTAAGAGTGTGCTCCTAATCTCAACTCGTTACCTGTATAAAAGACACCTGGGAGCCAGAAATCTTTCTGATTGAGAAGGGGGCAAATACTTATTTCCCTCATTAAAATGCAAATCAATTTATAACATTTTTGACATGCGTTTTCTGGATTTTGTTGTTGTTATTTTGTCTCTCACTGTTCAAATAAACCTACCATAAAAATTATAGACTGATCATTTCTTTGTCAGTGGGTAAACGTACAAAATCAGCAGGGGATCAACTACTTTTTTCCCTCACTGTACATATTTCAGTTTGATCGTTTTACATGGCTTAAGCAGTGAGGCGTCCGTTGAAACAACTGATATTATCCAAAAGCAGAGTTATTATTTATACTGGAGGAATCCAATTAGCTATAAAGCGCTTTTCCACAGATGTCCAATCTCTCGACAACCAAAAATACATCGGCACAAACCAAAAAAAGGTATAGGAGTAGAAGCCACTGTAAATAAAATACGATGGTCCAGCCCTGGCGCGCACGTCTACAGCGAACGCCACTATCTCTTCATTTATCCCGGCCACAAGTCATTCCTCTGACAG